ATGTTGTCACAACGTTTTGACACACGTGGAATATCATTACAAGTAAAGTCCACCCACCCAATAACTATTACACAGTACAACAAGTTAAGTTATAGACATCTGACAGGTCCTTACAGTACACAGTTATGATGAGGAAGGATGCTTCTTCCCAATTTGTGAATGTCATGGCCCCTTGTTCAGGGTTCTGGTGTTAGGGCGGGGCTCTAATGATTATATTGTGAAAATGCATTATTTCTTTGGAAATTCTTTTCCTTTGCTCCTGGGTAAGATGTTAATGATCTGGGTACATATTTATGATTAAGAAAGGTTCCTCTTTCAAAATGGTCCATTTTACGGCCGTTGGGTTAGGGGTACTACGGGGGGGGGGGGGGGGGGGTTAACATTATCTGAAAATAAAGTTATTCTTTGAAATCTACTCTCTGGTATTAATCAACCATTTATGATGAAATAGAATTTAAAACATATGTTAAAATTTTGAAATATGTAGCCCCAGGATCAGTGGTTCCTGTGGGTTGGGGTGCACAACTGGTGGTTATAAAGTGGACACTCTGATAATTACTCGGCGAGTCATCACAGCAGTTAGACACTGAAAATCTGTAATAATATAAAATAAGGAGAAAAATATTATTTATGCCCATCTTCCTGATACTCGCACTAAAGGTTGCTCTGTTTGATGTAATATTACCTTATCTGATAACAACACAACACCGTTTGAAGTTGAAAAAGGTCATTTATCATTAAATGACAATTTTGTAAAACTATTACAAAAATGAAAAAGTAGTTTGATAGATTTACATTAATAAACCTTCCAGTGATACCAATATCACTACATGCAAATTCCAAATAGATCAAAACATTACTGTATACAATATTTACATCAAAGGTGGGGTAAGGTAAAAATGCCTTACCTACTGAAAACAGAAATATGGAAAATTATTGTTAAATTACTCACATCAATTGAGAACACTATAAGTTTTTTTAACTATAAGGGAGAGGTGGGAGGGTTGTTCAAAATTAAAATTGTATTTCCATACAAATTTGGCGCCGACACTTTTTGTACTCAATCTGATACTGAGGCTGTTCCAAAGACAAGAACACGCTTGTCCCACTTTCAATACACAAGAAATGGGCATAAAACTATTTATGAACATAAATAGCATATGCGGTAAACATGAATATTTCTACTGAACAGGCAGAGATGATAATCTGAATTATAAAATAGTGATCAACTTACACGTTGCATACAAAAATCGCCAGCCGAATTTCTAGCAAATAAAATGTGCTAACTTCAGTAGAAATATTACCACATTCTGAGTCACATATTATGAAAAAGAAAAAAATAGTTGGCCCTAAAATAAAGATGTTAAATCCCCTCATCCCCTTTCTAGAAAGCAATACGAATAAGCTGGTCAAAAGTTCTTTAAATGTCTGCAAAATGGTACGTTGTTGTAAATAAAAAAATCATAATCTACAGGATACATGCTTATTTGTGTCTGAAAAAGGATAATTTACAAAATAAAATGAAAGTAAGGTACAATCTCAATCCTCTTTCAAGCCATATTATGTTTGTTACCCCCCTCCCTCCTCTCTAGAAGGCGATACTAATTAGCTAGTTAAAACTCATCGGAAGTCTGCAAATTTATGCAATATTATTGCACATTTTTTTTAAAAAGAAAAATGATAATCTACGGGATACATGCTTATTAATATGTTTTTGAAATGCGATAATTTACGAATTAAATTTATAATCAGTGTTGTGGTGAAACCTGGAAGATGAGTTTCGTTGGATATCAGTTAAGTGTGTTATACACTTGATGTGGTCAGAGCTAAAGAATTTGAAAGGTGTGATTAACAGTCATGGCCCCGGCCTTCCAGCTGTGATACAATATATTTTTTAAACAGGTGTGAACTCTTAACTGACCATATGAATGTTTCAAATCACAAGAAAACTTCTTTCTGCATAAACAAACTTTCAAGGCCACCTACATGTAGCGTCACGCGATTTTGATTGACAGGTGATGCACGAGGATTTCGTGCGTACAGCATGTACAGAGAATGAATTGATTGCTCAAAAGTTGTAAATGGAAATTAAATAGCATCATAGATTGATTAATTGTGACTGGCGATGTAAATAAAATGAAGAATTAAAATAAATACACAATTTGGAATCCAAATTTTACACCAAACTGTATAGGAAAAATCTTTGAAAATCTTCTTCTCGGGAACTACGAGGCCAGAAAAGCTGAAACTTGTGAGAAAGCATCCTGGGGTAGAGTAGATTTTAAATTAGCCAAATTTTGACCCGTGGGTTAGGGTGGAGTTATGATAGATATTATAAGGGGGAAATCTGGTAAAGAACAGCATGGTCAAAGCTACTCAGGTGAGCAATGTGGCCCATGGGCCTCTTGTTGCAAAATGCTACTTCTCCTACAATTTTGATCTGATTTCAGTTTAATTTGACACACAAGTAGATTACACTAAGATACATACTTTAGTGCATTGGTTTTTGATTTCAATGAACGATGTTGCCATTGTTACTAAAAATAGAAATTTTTGTGAAATTCTTTTAAAATGCTACTCCTTTTACAGCTTTGGTCCGATATCAATGTAATCTGGCAGACAAGTAGACTACACTAAGATACATGAATTAGTGCATAGGTTTTTTTACGCCCGTCTTAGGACGGGACTTATTATGTTATAGGCTTCATATTCGTCTGTTTGTCCAGCTGTCTGTCTGTACTTTTTTCAAAATGCTACTCCTCTTACAGTTTTGGTCTGATTTCAATACAACTTTGCAAACAAGTAGACTACACCAAGATAGGGTTGGATATCGGTACACGGTACCAGTACCGTACCGAATAGTTACTTCAAAAATACCGGTAAAATACCATTTCATTTAATACCGGTACTGATAACTGTATTTCTTAATCCTTAAAACATTGTTATACATTTAAATTTATTTTTTAAAATAGATTCCAGACTCGCTAAAATGGAATTCTCCGTGCATTGAAGAGTAGGCTAATTAACGACATCAGTACTAAGTAAGATACTTCCTTTCTACAGCCGATATTCGAGGGAAACCAATGCGTTTTAAAAAATATTTACATTAATCTTGTTTCAATTTTATTAATAGAAACTGATAGAAATTGTCAATTAAAAAGGCAAAACTTTGCGAATTTGTGATGTCATCTCTATTTCTCATTTTTCGTCGTTTAGTGCTACCAAGCAAAATGGCGACCGAATGAAGCGATCAGCTGTCATTTAGCAGAGAATTAGACGTTGATGTTTGTAATCTAATTTTTTATTTTATAGAGATTCAGATAATTTTTTTTGTTGATAATTTAATAAAAGGTTGAATTATAGAAATAGAATATATTTAACACATTTTTGACTATAATATTGAAAGTTGGTTATAAGCAGTGATAATTGAAAGCACATTTGTTATTAAAATGAACCCGGATTCTCATTCATCAAGGTATAGTACCGTACCGTTAAAAATACCGTATCGTTTAAAAAATACCGGTATGGTATCATACCGTTTCATCCTTAACGGTATCCAACCCTACACCAAGATACATAATTCTATTATCGATTTTTAATTTCGATGAAAGATGTTGACGTGGTTACTAAAATTAGAAGTTTCTCTGAAATGATTTAAAAGTGCTACACCTCCCATAGTTTTCACCTGATTTCAATATATTTTTGGCACAGAAGTAGACCACACTAAGATTCTTCTATCAGTTTTTGATTTTGATAAGCAATGTTGCGGAGGTTACTGAAAATAGAAATTTCTGTGAAATGCTTTTAAAATACTACTCCTCCCACAGTTTTTATCTGGTTTCAGTATAACTTGGCACACTAGTAGACTACACTAAGATAAATAACTCTCTTGATGGGATTTTGATTTCAATGAACAGTGTTGCCATGGTAACTAAAAATAGGTATTGAAATACTAAAAAAGTGCTATTCCAGGTACTGTTTTAGTCTGATTATAATATAATGTGACATGCAATAGATTGATTGATTGATATTGTTTAACGTCCCTTTCGAGAATTTTTCACTTATATGGAGACGTCACCGTATGTCGGTGAAGGGCTTCAAATTTTGACCTTTACTCGGCACTCAAGGCCATTGAGCAGTGAGAGATCTTTATCGTGCCAACGCCTGCTGCTGACACGGGGCCTCGGTTTTTAAGGTCTCATCCGAAGGACCCGCAACTTTCACTTCAATGTGCCGAGCGCATGGCGTAGGAACAGTTGCTACCCATTTTTTATCGACTTAGGTCAAGTCGCGGCCGAGATGCGAACTCACGACCTCCCGATCACGGAGCGAGCGCTCTACCGACTGAGCTACCGTGAACGGTGACATGCAATAGACAACAATGAGATAAATTATTGTCTTTTTTGTTTTAAGCTTTACTGGTCAGAGACCAGGTGTCTGTCTCCGTCTGTCTGTAATTAATTTTTCAAAATGTTACTCTTCCTTAAATCTCGAGGTGGCATCGATGTTTGATTTGTTTTCCGGCAAAATGCGTCTGTCTGTGGGAACTTCTGAAAATGAAAGTAAACGTAAGGGAACTAGGGTTATAATACATTAAATGATATGGCTGATCTTCTTGATAAATTACATTTGCCAAGCTATTTTGGTAGGAAAGATACTCCTTAACAAGTGTGAGGCTCAGTTTACTAAATCTGCACAATTTTTTTTTTTATGCAAGTCTGAAAATTAAGGAACTTGTAATTTATTTTGCACTACTTTCTTCTATCGATTCTAAAAATGATAAGTGGGTTGTACCCATATAGCTCTATGGGATAGACATTTTGATGCTATATCCATAAATTCTATCTGAATATGTTTTAACATAAATATTCTCCTAGGATTTAATAAGGATTTTTGTCGGGGATTCTTTAAAAAATCGCTAGTATATCTTTGAATTCGTTATATCCACGTTCATACTAAACAAGCTTTACTGTATTTTATTTTACTTTACCTTTCAACAGATTCTAGAGAATGCAACACAACATTGAAAAACTGTAGCGATCAGGGAAAATGTGTTTTCCGGAACCATGAAGCATCCTGTCTTTGTGATGAAGGTAAGGTACCGTATAACGGATATTTTCTGGAGTTATCCAATTTTTGTGGAATTTTGAAGATAGGACAAATCCGCAAAAATTACAATCGCAAAATATTTTTAATGTGCCTTCAGGTATTTTTTACATGCAAGTGTAATAAGTGGTGCGTATGTCTGGCAGAATTCTAATTCTCTGCGTACCAGACCCAGTTATATTATTTGAGACTCAAGGTTCTTAAAAATGATGAAGCAAGAAAATTTGGGTGACATCAAAACTCCGATAGCTGCAAACAAAATACAGCAGTTTCTCTTTCTTTCTCATTTTCCACCTTTCAGTCATGTATTATGTCTTTCCTTCTGAAGGGGAGACAAATTGTTTTTGTCAATTTTCTTCTTCCTCTCCATCCAAATTTTGACCAGGTCGTAACTTGAATACAGTTTGACCTGAAGACTTCATACTTGGAACATAGATAGATGACCTTGGGACGGAGTGCACGCCACCAAAATTTTTTATCTGTTTATAAGGTAAAGGTCAAATTTTCACATCAAAATAGAGTTTAATTCATAACTTGAGTACCTTTTGATATTAAGACTTCAAACTTGTAACATACATGTAGTTACTTTTTGAATTTTGCAGGCATTTGTTTTCAAATTGTTTAAAAGGCATATTTTGAATACTTTCATACCTATGATCATCAAACTTTGTCAGTTGATGCATGTTGGGTCTTCAGAAAACGTCGACCAAAATTTAGGTCACGGTGACCTACTTTTGACATTTTATGGCTATATTTAAGTATTTCAGGTACTTATGGACTTGGAATAATCAAACTTTATCAGTTGATGCATCTTGGGTTTTCTGAGATTGTCGACCAAAAAGTAAGTCGTGGTGACCTACTTTTGACATTTTACAGCTATAAATGTAAAATTTACACTTTAAAGTGTAAAATTTACAGATTAAAGTGTGAATTTTACACTTTAAAGTGTAAATTTTACACTTTAATCTGTAAAATTTACACATTAATCTGTAAAATTTACACATTAATCTGTAAATTCTACACTTTAAAGTGTAAATTTTACATTTTAATCTGTAAATTTTACACTTTAATCTGTAAAATTTACACTTTAAAGTGTAAATTTTACACTTTAATCTGTAAAATTTACAGATTAAAGTGTAAATTTTACATTTTAATCTGTAAAATTTACACTTTATTTTGAACAACTTGAACTGTAATCCTTTATGATGAAACAGTCGATTCGTGATGGTTTACCTCTGACACTTGAAAAAAAAGTATTAAACTGAGATGATTCAACATTGTTTGCATATTTTTTTTTTTTACATGTACTTGTACATGTTTATTAGTATATGATAAACAAGGATGGACTTTTTCCTCATGGGTCTCGTAATTTTCCCCAGCATAAGAAATCAGGGGTCTGCTTAATTTCAGTATATATACATGTGTTTCTTTAGTTTAACTATAGTGTAACGAACAGTAAAATATATGTATCAAACATTTTTTTTTATTTGCAGTTAATATTGATATTAAAAGTTTATTTTTCTATGGTCATGATGAAATGATATATTAAAATTACGGTCATTTTTTAACGTAGCATTAAAGAAACGTAATTGAATCAAAGGATATAAATTTCAAAATTAATATAAACATACTTTAGTTATTAATATACGTACATGTATACACTTTACTAAGGCTCAAACCACTAAAATTAATGCCAAAAATTGGTTATTTAAAAACAATCAATCAATTCAACTGTTGCCGTAAAATTTACAGATTCAATAATTGAACTACTGAGCGCATTAAACTAATTTGCGTATGATGATATCAATATCACATTCATCGAGAATATGTTCATCTATGTTTGATATGCTCTTCATTTATATGCTAAGAAAAGTTTAACTTGTATCAGTAATACTATTTTGATTATCATTTGCATTTATCATAAAATAGATAATCAGAATTAAATATTATCTTGCATGATTAACGGTCTGTTGGCTTTAAAATGCGTTACTAAGGATGTATGAAGTTGCTAAATTGACTGTGTGAATAAACAAATAAAGTGTGAATTTTACAGATTAAAGTGTAAATTTTACAGATTAAAGTGTAAAATTTACAGATTAAAGTGTAAAATTTACAGATTAAAGTGCAAAATTTACAGATTAAGTGAAAAATTTACACTTTAAAGTGCAAAATTTACAGATTAAAGTGTAAAATTTATACTTTAAAGTGTAAAATTTATACTTTAATTTACAGATTAAAGTGTAAAATTTACACTTTAATCTGTAAAATTTACACTTTAAAGTGTAAAATTTACACTTTAATCTGTAAATTTTACACATTAAAGTGTAAATTTTACACTTTAATCTGTAAATTTTACAGATTAAAGTGTCAAATTTACAGATTAAAGTGTAGAAATTAAAAAAAAGTAAAGTGTGCGAGTGGCACTAATACGCTTTCGTAGTTGTTAGATATACATGTGTTTTCTATGCATATCTATCCTTGATATATTTACACACCGTAAATAATGCAATTAAGATGTTTTAAGAATTTACAAAATAATCATTTTTATGTATTCTTATGCTTATAGGCAAGCTCACCGCAGCTTGTTTTTGCTAATTTTGTATAAGTCAAATAAAACACTTTCATAGAGATGAATAATGTCATTTATTAAAATGACGGTATAAATGTGAACAATTTAACAAACAAGAAGGGGATCAGATTCACAAGCTTTGATCAGCAGTGACGTAAAATATGATAATGTCTGATCCCCCAAAACTGACTAAAAAAAGTATCTGTAAGACAATACAATCAAAACATCATATGAAAAAATTAGCAAAAAGATGGCACATCAAAACAAAATAAGCCAAGACAAGACAATTTAAACATCATATGGAGAAGTTAGCAAAAAAGATGGCACATCAAAACAAAATAGGCCAAGGACAGTAGTGAAACAAAATAAATGTACAAAAATATATATATATATATATATATATATAAATATAAACAAATTAAATCAGAACCAATCAAATATATCATTTTACATGACACATTAATACCCATTTTAAGGGGTAGGAATGCAGGGGTGGAGGAGGGTCTTCAAAATAGCGTGCCTGATGTTAGCGTGGTCAGCATGCGGGTTATCACAATACAACTGAATGACTCGCTGAGCTGACCACGTGACTTTTATTTTTTGAAAAATAATTTTTCTCGCTTCTGCGCCTTGTTGGAGATAACGGCACGTTGAGGCTGCATTTCATTTCCGGAATTTTTGGTAATTATCAACTTTTCATTTCCGACATTTTTTAGTTTTCATTTCCGACATTTTTTTTGTTTTCATTTCCGACATTTTTCAAATACATATATAGTACCTATAGTAACAGATTTGATAACTTAACTTATGAAAATTTTTAAGGAATAAATCAGAAATAAATCATTGAAATCCAGTTTTGTAAATCTATCAAAGACTTGGACATGAGTATGCTGCTGTCACTGACATTTTATTTGGTGCACATTAAATGTGTTGAAAAAGTTTTATGCTCATTGAACTCCTTTACCTAGACTTAGTTCTACATATATGCATAAATGTAAAGCTGTTTTTTATTATTATTATTATTATCATTTTGTATCAATATTTTGGTATAAATACTTTAAGAAAACATTGAATTGCCGCACAGGTAAATTCCGGAAATGAAAGAAATATTATGTCGGAAATGAAAACAAAAAATGTCGGAAATGAAATAAAAAATTGTCGGAAATGCTATGCATATTTCCGGAAATGAAATGCAGCGACGTGCTACATGTAATTGTCCTCAAACGGATATGTGTCAATCATCCAATTAAAGAAACACCAAGACCCGTATTTTTAGTGCAGTTTTTCAGATCCCTATGTGTTTACACGGCTATAATTAATTGAATCGTAATTAAATGACATGTTAACACGGAAATTAGCTCGAAATAAAGTTTAAAATATTTATTTGCTTTAGATATTCAATTTTTAAAAACTTACGACACCCGTATTAAAAAGAATCAGGTCATCAAAATCATTTACATTTAATCTCTGAAAATTTATACATTTACACGTGATAGCATAAGTTCAGGCCATGTAAAAATATTTTTTTTTAAAAAGAAAATCGATTTTCCCAAGCTTCTGTTTGAACGGACACCGGTATGCGTTGATCAATTACCTCGCATGACTTGACCTCAGTGTTCATAATCGTAGATGTACGTAAACAGAATGTGTTTAAGGACTTCATTCATTTTTTTAAAAAAAGAAGCTTATTTGAAGTTGATGTATGTAAACTTCAAGAATTATTTCATGATAATTCGTAATTAGTGAGCTGGCGGGAACGTACTGCATACGTACATGTATGTTGTTCCGAGTCATTTAACTGTTTTTGTTCTTTGAAAAAAAAAAATATAAATTCATAACCGCAGACAAATTTTAGCGAAATAATACTATTTTCTCATATATTTAGTGAAGGCTTAGGGTACAATATACATTTTTGGCATTCAAGAATCCGCGTAATTTTTTACCCGCGGATAAAACTGATATTGTGTTTCTGCGGAATTATGACCCCGTGGAAATAACTACGTCTACAGTAATTAAATGTGTGTTTTTTAGCTCTACTGGTCAGAGACCAGAAGAGCTTTTGCGATAGTAAGGTGTCCGTCTAGCTGTCTGTCTAGCTGTCTGTCTGTCCGTCTGTCTGTAAACAAGTTTTAGCTCATCTGAGCCAAAGGCTCAAGTGAGCTTTTCTGATCAAAATTTGTCAGTTGTCTGTTGTCGTCGTTGTTGTCGTTGTCGTAATTGTAGTTGTTAACTTTTCACATTTTCGACTTCTCTTCTTGGCCAATTTCAACCAAACTTGGCACAAAGTATCCCAGGTGAAGGGGATTCAAATTTGTTCAAATGAAGGACCACGCCCTTATTCAAGGGGAGATAATTCAGAAATAGTGTAAATTTGATGGTATGTTTTAAAAATTTTCTTCTCAAGAACCAATGTGCCAG